TACATTAAGTGTGGAACAATCGTATGTACACACAAAATGAAACAGGGCAATACAATTACCTGGAAAGCAATCGATGGAAATAGATGGGAAGAAAAGGGGAAAAACCTAGAGCGTGGAACAATTGTATGTATCGCCTGAATCGAGTGGAAGAGGGGCGGTAGGAGCGGGAGGAGGAGTCGTTGCCTTGGGGACTGAATCGTCATCTCTGTAGGAGGAGAGCCAAAGAAGCGTCAAAAAGAGAGTGGAGTGAATCGTCATCTCTGTGGAGTGTCGCTCCTTGGAGAGAGAGAGAGAGAGAGAGAGAGAGAGCATGCTGATGTTTGATAGAGAGAGAGAATGCGTTGTTTTCCCTCTAACCCCACCCCTCCTAACAAATTTATCCACCCCTCCTATGCTAACGAACAAAAAACAACTAAATGACAAATCTAAAATATTTACATTTTTTACTTTTTTATATTTTAACTTTTAACCCTAACCTTTTTTATATTCTAACTTTTAACCCTTTACATTTTTTACATGTTTTATAATGACATCTTTATGTTTTTAATTTGTGTTATAATTATATAAATAAATTAATTTTGTATTATTATTAATTAATAAAATATTAATAATACATATTTCAAATATAAATTTAATTTATTAATTAAAAACTTTGATTTTTCATGTTAAATCAACAAATTCATGAGTAAGAGTACGCTCTATATATTCTTCATATGCATTGAATCTATGTTGATACGGGACAATTCATGTACTTGCATCTTCAAAACGATAACATGTCCAATGGTGCGTAAGTGTGGGCATTGGATATTCTCCATTTAATACCACCTTTATGTAATGGTTACCATTAACATGCACTATTGCAATTGCCACGTGTTGAGATGACGACGGAGGTTGTGTCCTAAACDGTAAGTATGTCACACTGTCTGCCATATTGAGAACATGCAGTATGACATTGAACCTTGAAGCCGTTAGAATGCCCATTTCAGGCATAACAATCCAATGCACAGCTGATGCGAAGACGCCTTTTTGGAAAAAAATTAGTGCTTCGTGAATGCGTAAGCACTCATTGCCAATCACATAAGAGTAATATTGTCCATACTCAGTTAGTTCAATCATTAACGTTTTGCGGATATTGTCCCATTCGTCTTCATGACCACCCAGACAAGTAGATATCGCTCGAAATCCACAATTTCCATCGCCTAATACATCTTGTATTTGTATGATGTATGAATGAAATAAACTCGGGATTTGATCAAGATACGGATGTCGGATGGTGGGTTGTCGATGGAAATAAGAACTATGCCTCACTGATTCTTGATGCCCCAAATCTTCAGAGTTAATAATTGATGGCACGTTAGAACAACTACGTCTACGGTCTTCAATAATTCTTTTATTCAAAGCTTGACTCTTTGTATATGGACAGCCACGAGTGGTTCTATGAACCGAGGGTTCATCGAACGATTTTGATGGCATTATTATATCCTTCAACTTTCTGAGTAAGCTTTTACGACCATGATACAACTGCTTATTGAATTTTCCTTTGAACAATTGAACTTCATCATCACATCCAATCTCGTCATCTTGTGTGGACACACATGGTGAAAAATCAAGTTTTTTCCAAAATATATCGATTGCATCAAGTGGAATGGGTATGCCATGACATGTATACAGTGCTTGTTCATGAGCACAAGGCAACCCATGACTTCTACGCAATTTACAACCACAATTTTCAGAAAATACGCTAGTTTGGAAAGACCGTTCATTTTCAGTGGAAATCATATCAAGTGCATGAAATGAAACAAATCCCCACAAATTTTGAAAGTGTGAGTTTCCAAATCAGTGTTTCCTAATCGTTCTACATTGTTCAAAACTTGCTTTAATCGATGTGTCCTGTGACTGGATTACTTGATGGATGTGAGATAAAATTCTTTGTAAGTCTGCTCGGGAAGTTTCCAAAAATAATTTTAGTTTGGAATGTTGCCTTTTAACTCTGTTTGTTGTGTGATTTCTAAAGTTTAAAACCTGATCAACCCAAGCAGATACAAACATTTCTTTATATGGTGTCAACCATACATTGTTCAGGTAATTCATAACACCTGAAAAAATACAACAAACATATGTCAATATCTTTAGTAACAATAATTAAACTATCTTATATCAAGAATACCTGGATAGGCGAGCAGATTTTCTTGAAGTTGTCCCAAGTTGTACGTGTACCATTCCTGATTTTGAGATTCAAGTAATTGCAACCATAATTGACAAAAAGTACTCCATGAGTGCGACTCGTGAATCGATGGTCTACAATGTTTCAAAATATTTTGAAAGATGTGCCATCTACAGAGTAACTGTTTAGCACCCAGAAATACCACTCTGCATGTTTTAATCAAAGTCAACTATCTGTCTGTGACTATGACAGCTGGGTAAAAGTTATCGCATATTTTGGACTTTAGACAATCTAATGCCCAAGTATAATTTGATATCTTTTCTTGATGCATGAAAACAAATGTTATGCAAAATGTCAGGTTGGTCGATGTTACACCAACTGTCTCAAGAAGAGGCATGTCGTACCTAAATAATAAATTAACAAAATAATGATGTTAAAGAAAATAATAATGTTAAAAAAATAATAATATTGACATTAACATAATAGACATGCATTTTAAGGTACCTATTTGTTTTATATGTGACATCGATGACTAACACTTGTGGGAATGGACGCCAAAGCTCAAATGATCTTGGATGAATGAAGAATAAATCTTCCAACTCGTTTGTTTCGTCAWTAACACGAGTCTCAAAATCATAATTTTTGTTAACAAAAAAATCAACAACAACCTGCATTTGTGGTCTTCCTGCATCGTTTGTTGTCTTAATCTTTTGTTGTTCATTGTATATTGTTTTTGACGTAGATGCATTTCCCGTATGTCTACCTTTTAATGTGGATAAGATATGTCGTGGCTTGACATGTTGGGCTGATAGATCTTCAACTAGTTGAGCTTCAGTTTCATTCAGCCGCATTGCATATGCATGACCCTCCATATATTGTGCAAGAACATGATTATGTGCATTGCATACCACCGTCAACGTCCCCCAACTATGTTTAGCCGAAAATAGCGGTATCAACTCAAATGGACATCCAAATTTTTTTGTTCCCGTATGACGAATGGGAATTTTTTTTGTAAGCTCCGTCGTGTTCACACATAAACACAACTTTATAGACGTTCCCATTTGGCTTTGCCTTTGATCTTTTCGTAACAACAACACAACCAACTGAACGTCCCACATCGTGCACTCACTCAGTTATTTCTTCCCGAGAATTGAACACCTAGAAAAAAAATTATAACTTTAATTTGTACAAGTAAGTATTAATAAACCTAAATATCAATTAACATAATATTGTACCTCGTTGGTGAAAAATTCTGGTGTTCAAATCTTCTACCATATTTGATGTATATTGAAGAATGATAGAGTTATATATTGAAGAAGAATGAGAGAGTTATATATTGAAGAAGAATGAGAGAGTTATATAAGAGAGTGAAATATCGAATAAACGATTCATTCGTTCTATATATATATATATATATATATATATATATATATCGATTTTTTTACTTTATTTCAAATCAACAACTTTACTTTATTTCAAATCAATAATTTTACTTTATTTCAAATCAGTAACTTTACTTTATTTCAAATCAAATTATTTTTACAATTATGTAAACGGGTACACATGTTAAAACGTATTTTTCTAACGTATTTTGTACTTAATGTAGATACTATTGTTCATAATGTAACATGTTACTTGATGTATATGAGATAGAATTTAACATAACATGTTAAAACGTATTTTAGTTAATATAAAATTATGTATTTTAATGTGTTAATGATGTAAAACAAAAATTAAAAAAACAAATGACATATCATAAAATTAAATAAATAACTATAAATGTAAATATTAAAAATATTTTTTCATAATATATAATATATAATAATATAATTAAGTCAAAAAATATTCAATATTGGGCTTATTTCGAAGGTATTGACGCGACGATTATAATGGTGTAACTTGTTAAAATTAAAACGTATTTTTTAAACATATTTTAATTGATATACGATTATGTATGTTAATTTGATCAGGGTATAAAATGAAAAATTTAAAAGGAAATGAYRTAAARTRAATTAATTAACTAATTATAGGGGTATAAAATGTAAATTTAAATTTTTAAAATTAAAAAAAGTGAATCGGTGTGAGTGTGTGAGGAGAGTGATATGTGTGGGAGATGGTGTGAGAGGAGATGGTGTGTGAGAGGGGAACATTTGACAGGGGGTAGAAAGTCATCACGGGGGTGGCTATATCAACCCTCCTTGAATATGTGCTTGACAGAGCCGTACCAAATGCAATAGATTTTGTTTTTAAAACTTTAATGTATTAAAAGGTAGTCAAATTAGGGATGGTGATTTGTCCCAACCCGGTGGGGAACCCAGTTCACCCGACCTGAATGGGGACGGGGATTCCCTGCTAAAACGGGTCCCGGGGACGGGGATCCCCGGTATACTCAAACCGAGGACGGGGGCCGGGAATTCCCGGTAGTGTTACTCAAACCTGGGCCGAGGTCGGGGATCCCCGGTAAAATCAAACTAAAGGATATTATTTATGGGGTTTGACCGGGGATTGACCGGAGTTTTACCCGGGATTGTTAGAGATTTGACCGGGGACGGGATGATAATCCCCGTACTCGTCAGGGTCGGGTACGGGGACCGGGGGACGTTACTACAAACCGGGGCCGGGGCAGGGACCGAGGATTACAAAACCCGCCCCATCCCCGCCATGTTGCCATGCTTAGTCCAAATGCATTAAATGTTGTCTTTTTTACTATAGATGATGTTTGTATAAGCAATGGTCATTAATGGGCTGACTTAGTTAGTTGGAGGAAGAATAGAACCAGGCCCACCTGGCCCAATCTTCTGTATACGTATTACGTAGTACAAACCCTAAAAACTTTGATTTGGTTTGTCTTCCTCTTCATCGCCGCTTTGAAACCCGGATTCTCAACTTCGATCAATGGTGAGCCTTTCCGTCTTCTACCTTAATCGTTAAATTTTTGTGTTCTTTGCCTCTGTAAACCTTACTAAATTTTTCCATTTCTTATGTATGGCCGTTTTTCTTCACCCAAGTTTAGTTTTTGTTTGTGGACTAACTCTAACATGTCTCTGTATGCATGATTTTTTAATTTCTCAAAGGGTCCAAAGAAAGGTGGAAAGCCGGTTGCAACTAAGAAGAAAACGGTATGATTATCGAGATTGATTTAGGGTTTTAACAAGTAGCTATCTATAATTTATGGTGTTTGATTTATGTACTTCAATTTGATTTTTTGCCCTCCAGGAGAAGGTAGTGAACCCCTTGTTCGAGAAAAGGCCGAAGCAATTTGGGATCGGTGGAGCATTGCCACCTAAGAAGGATGTTCATAGATTTGTGAGATGGCCACAAGTTGTTCGCATTCAGAGGAAGAGGAGGATCCTCAAGCAGCGTTTGAAGGTTCCACCTGCTTTGAATCAGTTCACCAAGACCCTCGACAAGAATCTTGGTAATGATCAATTATACTATCGCACACTTTAGGCTTTTTCCTTTATGCTTGTTTGGTTTCGTTATTCATTGATTCAATGGTTTAGACCTTAAGCAAAAAATATGTTATGGACATAATATGGGGATTTTGGCATGCTTTTTTCCCTATCAAGTCTACCACTTTTAGTCGCTACCTAGCCTGCTGCTTAATTCATGTCCAATTGCAGAAGCAAGAAAGCTTACTTTTGGATGTTTATCTATGCGGAAAATTTGTAGTGCTTTGAAATTGATTAGTATTATACAATAATTCCCACAGGACTGAAGATTTTGCACTCTTTCGTTGGACATCCATAGTTCCCTATCCTTTTCTTTGGACTAATTTCTTTTACTATTTCTTGATTGTTCAAATGTTTTGTCTTGTTATCGGAAGGAAGTTACTATTCATAAACGCTAAATGAGTCTTTAGCGAAATATCTGTTCAGCTTGTTAAAGGGATTAAACTTTAATTAATTATTGAATTCTGGGATAAATACTTTAAATATAATAGTTTATGGTATGCATTCCATCCTTGAGCTTATCATTTGAACTAAAAAATCATTAATTCCTTCCCTTGACGGGATCTTTATGCTTTATGTGCTATTAACTTTGCCAACCTTAATAAAACATTCGTTAAAGTCTCATGGATATTTAGTTGAAAAAGCTAGTTCAATGGGAAATGATCTTCTGCCAAATTTTTGCTGATCTAGTTTTGTTTTAACGAGCGCGATTAAGTTTACAAATCAGCAAAACTAATGGCATAAGGATGGTACTGTTACAGAATGGTATCATGTAAAACCCAAAAAATAGATTTGTAGGTCCAAAAGTAAGTTCAAGATGGAAATAGGTCCGTAAGCAAAAGTTTGTTGGTTTTCTTTGCATTTTTCTTATAACAATGATGGGTCTTTGGTAGCCCAAAAGTTTGTGGACATGGGAGTTTTTTATAGTACATTATGTCAAAGTTTACTTGTGCATTGCATTCATGATGAGATTATGATACCAGTTATGTATCTTTAAGAGTCATAGTTTCTAGTCACCTTGTAACTTTAGCATATTACAGTTTTGAGTAGCTAGCATCATTGCCTCTGCTAGTGTTTTTTAGTTGACACTTAACACTGGACTCGTTCTACTTTGTCTTAGAAACATCTACAAAGTTAACAATTGATGATGCAACGATTGTATGTCTTGTCTACAGATCAACAAGTGTTACCGATATGAATGAAATTCAATTAAAATCACAACTGGCGGAATCCTAAGCATTTGTACTTTTTTCCTCACTTATTTATCTTGATAAATAGACAATCCTTGAATGGCCATATATTTTTTCTCCATGATGTGCAGCAACGACTTTGTTCAAGATGCTGCTCAAGTACAGGCCTGAAGATAAAGCAGCAAAAAAGGAACGGCTCCTGAAAAGGGCACAGGCTGAGTCTGAAGGGAAGACAGCGGAAGCCAAGAAGCCTATTGTTGTCAAGTATGGTCTGAACCATGTCACCTACCTCATTGAGCAGGTTTTTTCACTTCCACTGTCTTAAAACATAATCTCTTCCAATTGTTTCTTCCGAAACAGAGACTGAGCCTGCTTTTGTATTTGTGATTGAAGAACAAGGCACAATTAGTCATCATTGCCCATGATGTGGACCCCATTGAGTTGGTTGTCTGGCTTCCTGCGTTGTGCAGAAAGATGGAAATACCTTACTGCATTGTGAAGGGAAAATCTCGATTGGGAACTGTAAGTGTGCTACATACTGTGTTTTTCTTTAGTGGCCCTCATTTATGCTCTCGATTGGGAGCTGACAAATTTTTTCTATACGTCAGATCGTCCATCAGAAAACTGCAGCAGCTCTGTGCTTGACTACAGTCAAGAATGAAGACAAGATGGAGTTCAGCAGAATCTTGGAAGCAATCAAGGTCTGCTTTCATATAAAATTCCTTTGATCAAAGCATGTGCTTTCATAGAAATCGTATGGCTCATTTTGAAATTGATTTCTGTTATATCAGGCCAACTTCAATGATAAGTATGAAGAATACAGAAAGAAGTGGGGTGGTGGGATAATGGGTTCAAAATCTCAGGCGAAAACAAAAGCAAAGGAGAGGGTTCTTGCCAAGGAGGCTGCTCAAAGGTTGACATAGAGCCCTTCATTATCTATAGTAGTCTGCAGAGTTGAGAAGGCTATGTTTAGGACCTCTGTTACATTGGTCAGTGTCGATTCCTTTTAGTTTCCCGAAGACAAGTTACCGAGTGCTTTCTTACGTGAGTTTGATTATGTCACAGTTTATTCAATTTTGGTCGGTTATATTAGCAAACAATTGTTTTCGTTATGCTTTCCATAACTATGACTTGTATGTTAATGCTTCTCAGTGATTGCCATTCCTATCCTCAACCAAGTAACACGTTTGTTCACACTTTGAGATAATGTAGATCACTCACCTTGTAGTGCATGTAACATACGCTATGTTGTTCCTGCTGTCAAAATACAAAATATCGGTCAAGACCGATATATCGATTATATCGGTGATATATTGGTCCAAAATGGCAGTTAATATAATATTTCTTAGAATTACATATATATATATATATATATTATATGTATGCATCCATAAATAAATCATATGCATTAATTAGAGTTTTGAAATATAGTTTCAAAATTAAAACATTACATAAATTGATAAACAAGTCTTGCAAAACAAAATAGGAAAAATGTTCAAAAACGAGTTAATCGCAAGCAATAGGTTCAGCATCTGAGTCAACATCATCTAATACGTTCACTTCTTCGTTTAGGTTAGCATCCCAATATTTTTCTTCTTCCCTTTCATCTCCAACATGATCATCATCATCATCATCTCTATAGCGCTCCTTTTTATTTCTTATACTTGGCCCAACTTGTTCATTACCTCCCATTACTTCTCGTACATTCGACCAAAGGAGGCCATCTCTTCCATCCACAAACTCTTGGAGCTCAACGTCGGTTGGAACCTCTCAGTCATCATTTTCTTTGACATCTCTCAAAAAAATAGGATTTGAAGACTTGTTAACCTTAAGAGATTTGTCACGTCTCTCCAATCTTTTGTTATATTGAATGAAGACAAGATCATTCAACTTCTTTTGCAAAAAGCAATTTCTATTCTTAGAGTGCAACTGAAATGATAATTGATAAATTTAAAACCATAATTTGAATTTAAGTTTCACTTAGAGTTAATATATTTTCCATAACAAAGAAAACTTACATGATTAAATGCACTCCAATTCCTCTCACAAGGAGAAGCACTACAGGTTTGGCTTAGAACACTAATAGCAAATTGTTGGAGCACGGGCGTATGCCATCATACATCTATGTTTTATAGGTTTATTAAGTTAATAAAAAACACAAATAAACTTTTGAATATGTAAATATATATGTGTGTGTGTATATATATATATGCACTATATTATAAAGCATTTGACAAAAAAATTTAAAAACCATTTTTTATACACGAAGTACTGTTTATTGATGCATATTATT